TATGAGGCAAAGATGGCACATTCCTCTAGGTACACTGGGCAACTAACACAATATTTTCAATTACTTAATTGGCTGTACATATTAAACAAATATTAATTCAGCAAAGTAGTGGGTTTTCAGTAAGCAACATCAGGCTGCTGGAGAGTTAGATGCAGATGGCTGCTATTTTGTAGAGTAGATACACAAAGAGATTTTTCAGAGCAACTCCAGATTTCTAGGCAAGCATACTGATAATTGGGGCAGATGCACTGAGCTTCGTGAGGTGAACAAGGACTGGCGAAATGTTGGAATCTTCCCAGAAGTGACTGTTTTATTCCATTCAGTAGGAAAGGACAAAGCTAAACATGAGAATGCTAGGAAAATACAGAAGTCTCTGTTTCTACAAAATAACTTAGGTTTAATAAGGCCCAAAAGGAGCCATAAATTTTTAAGTTTTAGCCTTTAAGCAAAAATATAATAACCATAACCTTTGCTAATTGAATAAGAAAGAAAATATATTTGGTCATTTTTCCTTTATTGTTTCTACATGGCTGACAGTGTGGATATATTACATTAGAAAGCTAGTGTAACATATCAGTTTAGGGAAAGAATGAAATAATCATCCAGTCCACATCTCTTACCTTGATTCATAGCTCAAATATTTTTATTCTTGGAACATTACTGCAGCTTTGGTGCTAAGAAAATTGCTGGGGGATGAAGAATGATTCTACAGACTTTAATTCTTCACAGTTTTCACACCGTCCTGATTAGTCTCACTTTGCAATCATGCCATCTAGTGTTCCCACATCCTCAGTTCTATAGTGTAACTTCATTAGAAACAAAATAATATGGGAAGTAACAAGAGAGTTACTTCGCAGTGTTTGTAAAGAGTCAGTGTAATGAATAGTCCGTCATTGAAACACTAAAGCAAATTTCTTGTTAACATGTATTTCTTTTTGATCATTATTGTCTCAATTATTGAATTTATTTCATAAATATTTTTATATATTCTATTTGTACAGTTGGCAAATCAAAAACTCTAGAGACTAAGAGATCTCTGAAACAAAAGGGTTTATTTAGTCTTTAAGATGCTAGCTGGGTAAGGACTGAGTCCCAGGACAGGAAATCTCTGCTTCACCAACAGCAAGGCCAGTTCACAGAAACAACTTGTCTGCCAGACTCAAGAAATAGGACACAATTACAAGAGGTCTCAAGGAAAGAAAGCTCTTTAAATTCACATTGACTATAGGTAAGGCTGGTGGGCTAGCACGAAGCGGGGAAAGCCCTGGGGTAGGTGGTTAGTCCAGAGAGAAGGCTCAGGGATTGGGTGTTGATGATGGTCCAACACTAGTCACGTGCAAGGGGGCTGCTGTGGTCCTGGGGCCCTTCTAGGTGCTTGTTGAAATGACTTCCTCCAGGAACACGGAGTTTTTGGTCAGCTGCAGCCGTCCCTTCTCTCTCTCCCTCATTCTCTGGCCCTTATATCACTTAATTTTGGACATTTCAGAATTTTTACCTTGTCAGAGGCAACACAAGCCAACCCAATCATGGATTGTGTTGGATTAGGGGATTGGATTAGAGTCAAAAGCTGGAAATGGTTTTATTGTAATATTTGATTCTCTTGCGTAGAGTCCTGTTACAGGGAGGGGTCTCTCTCACCCCTCCTTCAGAGCACATGGACAAGGAAGAGAGGCAAGATAAGCAGCTAGAAGACAATTCTATTTAGCAAGGAGAAAGTAAACTCTTGAACAGAGAGCAGGTGGCCTGAGAGGGCAGTACTAGCCCTGCTTATCTGAATATTTGCTGGTTTTATAGGAAAGTGTGAGGGTTGGGTTAACAGCCTCAGATTATATAACTGCTCTGGCTCTGCACATGCTCTTACTTGTAATGCAGACCGAAAATCCTATGGGGGGGGGGGGTGATTCTAATGGTCATAGGCCAAAGCCCTTCTCAGATATATATGGGTGTCTTTTGCACAGGCATCAACCTTGAGGATTTCCCAGCAATGCCCTCCTTTTGTTTTAGGCAAAGAGTCGGTGAAAACCCACCGACTCCCACCTCTCCCGCTCATATCTTCCCAGCTGCCTGCTCTAACGCTGCCCCCCATTATGGTTTTGTGCCTGAGCATCACTGTACCTTCAAGGGTCAGGTGATTTATGACACAATAAGAGAAACACAGAAGGGCTTTGGTAGGTGTGAAATAGAGTGGTTTGCCAGAAAACAAAACACTAGTGTCTTCCTTGGCTTACCATTGAGACTATTTTAGGTGTATCTTTTCAAACACATTTTTGGAAAAGTATTTCTAGGAATTAATCGGCTTGAGCACAGTTTCAACATGCCCCAGTGACATGATTTTCATTTTCTTTACTGCCAGCCTTTAAGATGATTTCTATGTTGTCTCTCAGTTCAGAATTTTAAGAGAAAAAAATTCATTTATTTAATTATGAAAAGAATAAAATTAATAAAATAAGACAGGTCCTATCAGACCACCTCTGTTGAGGAGGAAAAATTCTCTTTCAGCTCATTCTAGCTGGTCTTAAGAATCAAACTGACATGAGACAGACTGACAGGAGAAAAATCAAGCAAGAATTTAATAACATGTATACACAAGAGAGATCCAGGAAATGAGCAACTTCCCAAAAGCTATCACCTGATGTAAGGTCTTCAACCAAAGACAAAAGAAGATGTTGAACGTAGGGAGGAAGGTTGTAGATGTAAGTTCTTGTTCTCCTTCAATAAGGGTTTTCAGAGACTGTGTTCCCCGGCTCCACCTGGGAACAGAAAGGAGACACTCTTACATGTGGATATTTCCCTTTTAAATGTAAATATCTCTGACAAAAGGGTACTTCTACCAGGTTTTTAGAGCTTCTCCATCCTGTCTTTGAAATACCAGCTTAAAGTAATTCATATGCCAAAGAGGCTTATCTTGGGGTGGCAAGATTTGCCCCCTTTCCCCTCCATCATTTTAACAGCGCAGAATGGTTGATCATATGCTTGCTCTGACTGAAGTGAAATGGAAAACCTCAGACCTTGCCCTGTCTGATTCTGAGGCAGGTGAAGTGCCGAGCTCCTTGAGGTGCTGCCTGCTGCCTGAATGTCACCCAGCCCCCTTCTGAGCTTTGGTCCCCCTTAGCCTTTTGTCAGCTTCAGGACAGGACGCTTCCTCACACTTTGGGCTGTTTACCTGTCTTGCTTTAATCAGGAATGCCTTCATTTGCCCTTCTGCTCTCAGTTGATTCTTAATGCAGCTTCCGATCTTGGCCCAGGCATCACCTCCTCAGAGAAGCCCTCCCACACTTGCTAGACAGCATCCAATCCTCTTCCTCATGATCACTCGCCATACTTTGTAATTATATACTTTACCTGCTGAGTATCTCCTGCCCCCCTGGATTACAAATTACAAGCAAACTAAAATAATATTTTTTTAACCCCTTGGGGTCCTGGCCACTGTGTTTTCTACAATGCCCAGTGCATTGTAGGTATGTGGGAAATAGCTGATCAATCAACCTGAATCCAAACTTGAGAACTGAGCTGCCCACTGTCCCAGCCCATGTAGTTTTGTGAAGTCAACTCTGCTTTCGTGTCATCCTCAGGGAAAGAGCCTATTCACTGACACACCAGCGCCTATATTCCAGCTTCTCAAGGTGAACGGCTCTGGGCACTGATCACTCTGGCTATAGCCTGGGAGTGGGGTGTTTGTTCTCACTATGGACAAAATCCCTGACCTTGTTCACTACACTCTCTGCTTCTTGGAAATCCATTGACCTTTTACTTCCTGCCCACTGTTAAAGTACTGAATTTCAGCTGGTAAATTCGAAGATTTAATTGGCTTTATTAAGCAATTCATGACTAGGGAAGCATCCCATATAGCAAGGAGAGATGCTCCAGAGAGTTGTACAAAATTATAGGAAGGAGAGTGGAGCAATGGAGTTATTTTCAAAAGAAAAGAAAGGATTGTTTCAGGCCAGGTCATCTTCCCTTAGGAGGAGTTCAGGGTATCTTACCAGACATTTGGGAGAGATGAAGAGGCCCATGTGACAGATGGCCTTATTGGTGCTCACCAGAAAATCCCTGACTGACTGTCTAGACTGTGTTTCTGGGGAAAGCCCCAGTTTTGTGACCTGGCCTGGCATCAGTGACTCCATATGGGGCTTCTGGTTTTCTTATCAACACCGTGGATCTCTCCTTCCCATGCTCCTGTCCCCATACCTCAAAATAAAAGCAAAATGAAACAAAATAAAATAAAAAATCCAAAGGCCTAGTTCTTCCTGTTGTTACTGCCAGGAATTTAATCTCCTCTTCATGGAACAATAGGGAGGTACAGAGAACAAAATACAAATTACTATTTCAGTAAAATATTTTGTCACTCTGGTATTCAGTAGAGAATAAAAATAAATTTTGCATGACATGCAAGCACATGTTGGACTTTTATCTGTTATTTTTGTAGCACCTTCCTTCTCTTTCTGGGAGACTCTGGATTCCACCTCTCTTAGAATATTAGACAAGCAATCATGCTAAGCATCAATCATCTTCAAAATGAATTCTGCTTAAAAAGTTGTATCATGTCATACTAGGCTTTAGGTATCTACAACCAATCACCAATGTCTTCTAAAGAATAAGAAATGAATTCAGGATTCAGAAGTAATTAATTTTGGCATAAGTATCATACAAACATACATACATATATAGATTTGGTATTTTTTTATTAATTGTAAGTTTTTCTTTAAGTCTAGTATGTTCTCATTGTTTTAGAAAGCTAACACTGTTGCTTAACATCACATACACACACACACAAAATGCTTGAACCTATGAATATTTTCAAACCATACTGAGGATTCCTGGCAGGGACCTCCCTTTCTTACCTGTGTGGCACTGAATAGGCATTACATACGTGTGTGCTTCTTAAACGCTGGAATGACTAATTCAATTGCCAGAATTAATAGATGTGTATTTTATGACCAAGTGAATCAGACAGTATGAAATTTACCCCAAGGAATATCTTCGCACTTGTCTCTCCACAGCAACACGGATGTACACACGGTGGCGTCACTTCTTAAACTGTACCTCCGAGAACTTCCAGAGCCAGTTATTCCTTACGCAAAGTACGAAGATTTTTTATCATGTGCCAAACTGCTCAGCAAGGAAGAGGAAGCTGTGAGTTGATGTATTTATTTCTAAAAACAGCTTTGGTTTGGGAGTTGGATCAGCATTCCAGGTCTTTAGTCTATATACTTCCCTGTGCCTCCCCTAGGTTTTGTTTCTCACTATTCTAGGTACTGACATCACACGCATTCAGATTTTACACACACAACTCAGGTCCCATTTTTAATCTCCTCTCTCATCAAAAAGATAAATGCAACTGAATGAACGGACTCAGTACCCCTTGCCACTGTGTTCCTCTGAACGGTCAGGTGTGCCACATCAGGCCCAACCCTCCATGAACAGAGGGGATGCTGTATTTCTTGCTCCCCTTTTAGCTGCATGCTCCTACCAAATCCTACCTACTGCCTATGTTTTTAAAAACAGCTTTATTGAGGTATAATTCACATACTATACAATCACCTATTTAACATGTACGTTCAGTGTGTTTTAGTATATTCTCAGAGTTATACAACCAGCACCAAAGTCTAATTTTAGAACATTTAGCACATTTTCAGCATCCCACAGCAAACTCCATTCCTGTTCCCCAAGTCCTTCCTTTCCCAGATCTTGGCAACTACTAACCTGCTTTCTGTCTCTGTAGATCTACCTATTCCAGATGTGTCAATATAAATGTAGTTAGTCAACGTGTTGTCTTTTATGACTGGCTTGTTGAAAAGGCCATTGTTTCCCCTGTTGTACTTTCTTGGCAGTCTTGCTGAAATTGCTGCCTGCTTTTTGTAAATGAAGGTTTCTTCAGTTATATAATATTATCTGTGGCTGTTTTTGTGCTACAACAGAAGAGTTAACTATTTGAGACAGAGACTATCTGTCCCAGAAAATCTAAAATATTTACTGTCTGGTCCTTTACAGGGAGAAGAACAGATCAGATTACATTAACCATTAGCTTTTCTGGAACCATTTACATTTTAGAAATTCTACAATGAGAAGAACCAAAGCAATTAATCCTTTTTTGAAATTTCCAGAAAGATTATCCTTACTGCCCCACCATCCCACCCTGAACAATGTATTCTAGACATGACTGGTTTTTAGTGACTTATTTGTTTATGGACATGTATTTGTCTATGTTTTGGACATGCTAAAAATGGGAAGGAATCTCTCTATATCCAAGCAACTTTTTCCCCATATAATCCTACTATAAATGAGTCTATTTTCCCTCTTCAGTCAATTGTGGACAAATGTTAAAAATGTTAAAAGGGCTTTGCTTAGATCTGTTTTTCCACAAATATTACATATGGAGATATTTGAAATGCTTTCACTTCTTTAAAAATATTTCTGAAATGCCTTATGTGATATTGGCATGTTTTCAGGACAGGATCCTTCACTGGAAGTATGTGAAACCAATTTTTTTAAAAAGTGTGCCCATTTTCCATTTGCATTAATTTTTGGCCAAGGCTTAGGTAACATTTATTCTCTTCTTCATACACAGGGTATTAAGGAATTAGCAAAGCAAGTGAAGAGTTTACCTGTGGTCAATTACAACCTCCTCAAGTATATTTGCAGGTAAGATTTGTCCTAAAGACAAAACTAAACAGAACATGACTCTATTTAGCCAGACACTAATTTGCTTTTGACAATGAATAAAATCACTTAACTGCTCTGAATTCCAGTGTTGGCTTCTATAGAACTAAAAGGTTTGACAAAGTGATCTCAAACGTTTCTTTGAGCACTAAAATTGCTTGATTTTGTAATCTGTTGTTTCTGAAGTCTCTCTTGCCTCTACCCATGAAAGATACATTGCTTTGAACTTCCATCAGAGGCATCTGTACATTTGCCATGTGCCATTGTTTAAGGAAGAAGCATGGACCTTGGCATGAAAGATTTGCCCAGGGGTTCAGATTCTACCACTGAATAATGTGTCTTTATGCAATTTTCTTATCATCTCTAAGTCTGAGGGTTGTAATAGGTAAATGTAGTGAAAACACATTTCACATAGTTGTTCTAGAAATAAAGTTATATTTTCAAATGATTAATATATATTGTAAGTATTCAATAAATATAATTTTCTTTCCAATTCTCTCCACTCATTGAAAAGACATTGCAATTTAATTCTGGTAGAGCAATAATCATGCCTGGTAAAGCTCTCTCCCTCAATGATCAGGTATGACTTAAGGTCTGGTATAGTATGTGCCATGTCTGTGCCCCTATTTAAGAAAAAAAATATGTGAAATTGAAACATTAATTTAGCATATTTATGATTGGTACAACAAGTCACTATAAGGTATCTTAAAATGATAGCTTCCCTGTTCATTTTATAATAAAATTCAAATTTTTAATTCAGGGCAGTACATTATTTCCATAAGCTTTTTGTGTCATGATTAGGTAAATATTCAGCAGACTGATAACTGTGGGGTTTAAGACTAATGCCAGACCATTGCCAACTCTGAGAAGGAATTCCAAAACCTCTTTTCATTACTTTGTTTGGGGATGGTTATGTTCAGGAACAAACAAGACCTTAGGTTTCAGAATTTGAAAAATCTGAAATAGTTTCACAGATAGCACTGACTATTAACATGTAATGGTTCTGTCCCAAGATTCTGAACTCATCCAATCTATTCTTAATGGATAAGAAAAGGGTTACATTTTCCTTAAGAAAAAGGGAAAAAGTCTTTTTTAAGAAACATATTGCAAGTATTTATATCCACAAAAGAAAAACTTAACTTCCCTTGAAATATTTAAGCAGACCTGATTTTAGCTTTTTCAATAAGAAACAGTAGTTTCACTTTCTTTGCCTTCAGTTTTAGTGTAATTTAGGGTATATAACAGTAATGAAAATGTGGCAATAGGTACCTTTTCAAAAAATCATGGGGTAGTAGCCGAGACCACAGACTCTAGCGTCAGACCACCTGGGTTCAAATCTCAGCTCTGCCACTTATTAACTCTGTGACCTTGGAGAAGATTTTTAACCTCTCTGGTGCCCCATTTGTCCCACCTATAAAATGGAGATACTAATGGTATTTATTTCATAGAGATGCTTTGAGAATTTAATAAGTTAGCAGAAGGACTGACACATAATAAGATATATTATTTTAAAGAACATTTTAAAAAGTTATTTTTAAAATTTATCACTTCTTCCTTGACTCTCAGTACAGTTAGTAAGCCATGAAGTAAAAGCTCTTGTAAGGAAGAGGAGATGGGGAATGAAAAAAGGCTGAAAGATAACAAAAACAGTCCCTTCTACTAAAATCATTAAAGGAAAGGGTTGGTTATTTCATGCCTCTTATTCTTTAGCACCTAATACATGAGAGAATTTTTGCTTGCATTTTTTCATATCATTAAAACTGGGGGTTTAATTTAAACCACGTTTGATCTCATTTTTTAATGGCCTGTAAATTTGAAGCTCACACATGTCTTCATAAAGAGGGTTGATTCCTTCTCTCTGAAATAAATGGTTGTACCAGATGATTTTATTCATAGTTCTCAACTTGAATATGTACATAAGTTTAATACTTTATTTAAGGATTGGAAGGAAATCCATGTGCTTAAATCTCAAGTGCACATTAGCATTATACAAACACACTTGTTTCTGTGACTGACAGAAGAAAATGAATCAAGCCAGGCCAGAGCTGATATCTGATATGATCCCTCAAGTTTGATCCTTAACAATTTGCCCTGTATTTTCTCCATATTTGACTGAGAAATGTTTGAATTTCTAAACAATTTTGACACCATAATCATCTTTGAACATACTCCAGTTCATTTATTTCCCAAAACCCCATTTTCTTCCACTGACAAATATGATCTCATGGTGTTTTGTTCATCTTCTTACACCCAATAGGTTCTTGGATGAGGTACAGTCCTATTCAGGAGTTAACAAAATGAGTGTGCAGAACTTGGCCACTGTCTTCGGCCCTAACATCCTACGCCCTAAAGTGGAAGATCCTTTGACCATCATGGAGGGTGAGTAAATGATTACCTTACACCCTCATCAAAAGAGCAATCAACTGTCTTTTTGTTGGTCTGCACCTCTTCTCCTCTGAGGAAACTAGGGAGTAAGTGAATTCCTGGTACCTCCATTTATTGACTCAAGTTCTTCAAATGCAAAATCATGTCTCTGGGAATCAGGCATTTTTTAGAGTTTTCTAAACATACTAATTTACTGAAAGATTCCTCAATTGCCTTACAAGAATAAATTGATTTCCATAAACCATGTGCAAACTATTATGCAAGAACTGGAATAATCTAGTTCACTTTTTGAGTTCAATGCCATTTTCAGAAAATTCAAAATATTACTATTTTAAGTTGATACATTATTGTTAATTTTAGTTTTGTTAGACTGATTTCAGGAGGTAGAAAAAATATTGTCCTCTATAAGATAGTGCTTCTTATTTATCTGCGAGTTGAAACATGAGGGAATTCTTGTTATCTAAATTACAGAATGCTTCAAATTCTTTTTCACAATGAACTGCTGCTTCCACTTATTTCCAGCAGGGCTCACTGCTTAGCATACTTCTGGCACCCATGGCCACTAAGAAGAACTGTTTTCTGCAAACTGGCCTGAAGGAACATTGGAGAATTTAATAGGGAAGAAAGGAGAAAGAATAATTATTTTTAGTTTTACTCTGAGTTATGTAGTCTAGAACAAAATATCCCCCTGATACTGCTCCTTTCTTGAAACTTCTAAGATTTTCATTCCTTTCTATCTTATGAAAGAGAAAGCAGGCTTCTAAGCGTTTGCCTACATCAACTCAGTGTACTTTCCTTTGTCAAATATTGAGGGAATATAAATTGAACATCAGACTTTGGGCAATAAGAATGAATACTTTGTAATTTCTGTGTGAGGAATTTAGCAAACATTAGAAAATATAAACTTTGATCTTACGAGAAGCTTAAAGATACTTTAGTCTATTGTTTTCTAAAAATCTTTTGCTTAATATAAAATAAATATATATGATACAGATAACCAGTACCCCCACCACTTACACACACACATGTACATCTTAATGAATTTGTCCAAGATAAAAATTCTAGAAATCACCCCCAGGTCAAGAAATACAACTTTTATAGGCATCCCAAATGCCTGTCCTTGTGCTCTGTCCCCCCATCTGTTCATCCTCCTTAATTAACATCCTCTATCGTACTACCCAGATATTTATAGAAATTACTTCCTTGACTTTCTATATAGTTTTATTGACCAAATGGACTTCCTGAGACATTATATTTAATCTTTGCTATTGCTATTTTTGATATCTTTTAAAGACTCTCTTAATATACAGGATCCCTTATAATTTATCTGATGAAAAATTAGGTTATCCGACCTGTAGAATTTCCTGTGGTCTGGCTTTTGTTGATTGCATATTAGTGGTGCAGTTTAACATATTCCTCTGCCCTGTTTTCTACAAATTAGGACCTGGGTCAAACTCACATTTGCTGTTCTTGGCAAGGCTATCAATTGTGTTGTATAATGTCTGATTATCTCTCTTTTTGTTATCTTAGTACAATTCTTAAAACCATTAATTCCCTAAAGTTGAAAATGGGATATTTTAATTCTACATTTTTTTCCTTTTCTTTTGTTGTGGTAAAATACATATAACATGAAATTTACCATCTAAATTATTTGTATGTGTACAGTTCAGTGATACTGAGTGCATTCATATATTGTGCAACCATCACCGCCATCCAGCTCCAGAACTGTTTATCTTGCAAAACTCAAACTTCATAGTTGTTCACAACTCCCTTGCTCCCCTCGTTCCACCTCCTGGCAATCCATTCTGCTTCCTGTCTCTAAGAATTGTGCTAGGTACCTCATATAAGTGGAATCCTGCAGTAATTGTTTTTTTTTTGTGACTAGCTAATTTCACTTAGCATAATATCTTCAAGGTTCATCGATGTTTTTTTTAAAAAAACTATTCCCCTCTTCTACTACTTAATAACCCAGTGGTAACTTTCATAAATTAAAGGTTGCTTGAGTCTTTCCCTTTATTTACCAGTTTTTAAAACAATGGAATATAGATTCTTGACACACCCTAAAACTGAGGCCCCCTCGTCCTCTTCCTTCTTCTCATTAATATTTTTAATTTTATTTTTAACATATCATAATGAACTCATGAATTTCAATCTATTTAATAGGTCAATCTTTGTAATTATTGTTCTTTATAATTATTTGTCATGATTGTTTCCCATCTTTGGCCAGTGGAAGTTTTTTAAGTTGTCTTCTAAGTCCTTTTGGCATGCTTTTTTTTTTTATATGACATGATTCCCCACACTCATATTATATTCCCTATACCAAATCTGGAATCAGCAAATTTCCAACCATCCAATTTCTAAAAAGTTCTTTTAGTGGGAAATGATATTTCAAGATCAAAATCTAGATACCCGTGATGCTCACTGCTACTGGCTTGGTCACTGTTTAGGCTTTTAGGGGGACAGAGCTGGTAGATCTAAATGCATACATACAGACATACATATGACATGCACAATATACATAGATGCACACTTACTTATGAAAGAAAAGTTTTCTCACAAGTTTAAATTACACTTCAAAAAAGTGACTCTAGGGCTTTTATTCATTCTTTTCTCTAGTCTAGTTTTTTTTTCTTACAAATGAGAATCCTGGTTCTCAAAAACATTGACGATGACGGAATTAAAATACCTCATAATTAATCATCAGACACATAATAGTCTCAGAATACCAATGTTATAATGGCCAACACTGGTTCATTAAGCAGCTACTTTGTGCAACACTCTTCGTTAAGACTACATATTTAAAGAAAATGCTTGGCCCTCAACAAAGTTATAGTTGACTTGGAGATTTTAACATGCAAACATTTAATTGTAAATAGTGTAAGAAATATTATGTTATATATGTGAAATGTCAAAGAATTCTGAGAGTACAAAGTAGGGAATGACACACTTTCTCTTGGAGGTCAGGAAAGCTTCATAGATGAAGAGGCATTTAAATAGTCATCCCACTGGAGGAAGAAACCTAGTCATAGGTAGGCAGGTAAGTCAGTCCACAGTGTGTCTGAATGAAGAATTTGGTAAGGTCAGTGATATCGGGCATGTGGGGAATCTCGGTGGAAGAATGACTAGAAAGACCTCACAGTGGTCTCAAGCCTTATTAACCAATCTGCATTCAGAAGTCTTGTCATTTTTGAGCAAAAGGAGGTTGAGATTGGATTTTTATCTCAGGAAATTGACTCGACAGCTGTGGGAATTGGCAATGGGAGGTTAGATAGAAACCAGACTGAAGCTAGGCATTGACTTTCTCTGGGTTTGAGTTCCAAGACCAAGTTTGTATTTGTGCTCATGGCCTCCTAATCATTTGTCCACATTTTATATACAAAATATTACAATTGAATCAAATATACTCAGGCTGAAGTAGTCCATAAGATACAATAGCTCGATACAACATGAGCTTGCTCTTAAGTGTGAGTTTAATCCGTGTGTATTAGTTTTGTCCTTCAGCATTTCCTCTCACTGTAAACAACAGGTCTGAGTAAAAATTGCACAGGTTGGCAAATGAGCCTTAAATGTTTACTGACCCATAATATCATTCTTTGCCTTCTTTTCTCATTTTGATAGATATTTTGAATGAATTAAACTCATTCTTGGCTACTTACATAATATTTGCAGTCAACTAATGTGAATTATATTGAAAAACATGGATAATTTGGATTATTCTTTTAAAACTCTTCTTTCTTTTAAAATTCTCTCTTACATTAAATATTGTCTATACATTCCTCACCATTGTGCTCCTCTTACTACTGTTCTATTCCAATATTGATGTAGCCATTAATGATAACCTTGTTAATAGGCATATCCATATCTGTATAATTGATAGGTGTTTTAAAGGAAACCCTTTGAAGACTGTTTTTAGCATTATTTAAAATTACTGCCCAACAATATTGCATTCTGCTTCTAGCCATGAGGAAGGAACAGGGGATGCATTTACTCTCCCAAATTACACAACTAGAAAATATGGGGGAAAATATATGAAATAGCTTTTAAACACTAGGTAGTGGGCAGTATGCCCATTATTCTTAAGAGAAGGCAAACAAGTGAGGGGAATTCTGCTATTGTCCTAGATTACTGCTAGGGGACAATTTCTACATTGCTTCACATAATAAGACTGAACCCAGTGAAAAACTGGGTGAAAGATTTGAATCTGACATTTCATCAAAGAAGACAAATAGCAAATAATTTGTGGAAAAATGCTCAACATCTTTAGCCACTAAGGAAATGAAAATTTAAACTACAAAGAGCTATGCCTGCACATCCCCTACAAAGTATAAAATTAAGGCTGAAAATACCAAGTTTGGCTGATAGAAACAGAAAATGCTAGGATTATTTTGCAAGAGTTAGAGAGAGTCTCATAAACTTAGTTTTTTACTAACCATAGACCCAGCAGAGCAATGTGTTAAGTATTTTCCCAAGAAGAAAGAAAATAAATTTCACCCAAGATTTATAACCAAATGTTCATATTAACTTTATTGATAGTAACTCAGATCTGGAAACAGACCAATTGTCCATCAATCAGTGAACAGATAAATTTCTGTACATCCATAAAATAGAATACTACTCAGTAATAAAAAGAATGAACTACTGATACATGCAGCAGTATGGATAAATGTCAGAAGTCTTATGCTAAATGAATAATGCCTAGACACAAAGAGTTCATACTGTGTACTTCCATTTATATGAGATTCTAGAAAAGGGAAAAAAAGCAGTGATAAGTTGTTGCTTTGGATGGGAGGCAGGATAGGAGATTGGCTACAAAGCATCACAAGGGGACTTTCTATATCTTAATTAGTGTCAATTTGTCACCTGATCTGTCATTTGACTTTCATTTGTCAAAGTTCCATGATATATCTTACAAATATCTATACATTTGCAGAATGACACATGTACACGGTTATTCATCGTAAAAAGTACAAATTGAAACTTTTTCATACAATACTGCTGTACATGTATAATAAATATGTGTATGTGAGTGTAGTTTACCTTTTATTAAAGAAAACTGAATTCTTATCTAATTCTTACAAAGAAAAGTACCTATAATACAATATTTAAGTTTGACCTGTGCAGAGCTATGAGCCAGAGGGCACGGTTGGATCGCGGAGCACAGTGTGACCCTCGCAGTGGCCTGCACCCTCCGGACCGGGCCACTGAGGATGCCCACTCTGGTCTCATTCCCTGGGCTCCATCCCTCTCATCAGCCCTCTGGGGAAGAGAATGACGGAGAGGAAGGAAGGAAAAGGGGAGAAGATAACGCAGATAGCCAAACACACTTCATCATTACTACCCAGCCAGTCTGTCCTAAGTTGCTATAAAAATTGAAAGAAAGTCCCGTAGTAAGGAGCTATTGCCATTTATTTTCCTGGAGACTGGATGAAAGCAAAGCCTCCCGAGACGGCAGAGAGAGATTTCCCGCTCCCCGGGGCCCTGACACTCACTCTGTGATTGAGCAGGTCCTCTTTGGCATGGCAGTTCACAGACGCATCCTGAGACCTTGGGGATGTTGCTCACCTAATCAAATGTTCCACACAGTTCACAGCCATGACTGGAAGCAGTGATGCTTCAAATGTTAATATTCCAGTAATGGGGGAAAAAAGCTCCATTTTCCCAAAGTACTAGGCAGAGTCATATATATGAGAGGCTGCTAACATTTGAGAGTGTGTCTGCCACATGGGCAAATAGTAAAATAGAATTAAGTGCACATGCCTTCAAACATAGTACAGTATGGGACAGTGTTGACGGCATTTTAACTTCACAAGAATCTTTCCCTCAGACTCACTGCCACATTCATTGGAAACATATGACAAATTCAGAGGTTACTAAAAGAGAAAGGATGGGTATATAATACCATTAATTTAATTGCCTTTTTTCGTCCACAACTTTGTAATAATTGATGATGATTCAATAAATAGTTGTCTTTTATTCAGTTTTTAATTCAGAACCCCAAGTTTGCCTGTTTGTCTGTTACTGCTGCAGTTCAAATCCCAACAGCTGAAACAGAATAGGACAAAATACATGATCTGGAGTAAGATGACTGTATTGCATTTCCCCTTGGTCACTTATCCTCTATGTGGCCTTGAGCAAACAGCTTAACCTCTCTGAACCTCATTTTTCTCATCTGAAAAATTTTAACTCCTATCTCACAGCTTTTTAAGAAACTTAATTTAGAAGATGTAAGTGAGACATTTCCACCTAATACAGTGTTTCTCAGCATCTGACATGCATAAGGAATCCCCTGGCGATATAGTTAAAATGCAGATTGTGATTCTGAAGGTCTTTGATGGGTCCTGAACTTTTGAAGCTTCAGGGTGATGTCAGTGCTATTATTCCATTATTGTTGGTATCATCCAGGAGCTGGTTAGACATGTAAAGTCTCATGCTCCACCCAGTACCTATATTTTAACAGACTCTCCAGGTAATGTGTTATAAACATTAATGTTTGAGCAGCACTGATCCAGCATCAGACCTGCCACATTGCAGATGCTTGATCTAAATATAATTTTGGAATCATCACAGAGGAAGTGTGCAGGAAATAGATGGCTATAACATATTTTTCTTATTCAGATTTTAATTTTGAATTACATTCAGGTCAAATCTTGCCCAGGTATTGCTTTAAGCTAGAGTGGTCTCACCCCAGGTCAGTCTTCTGCTCTCTGACAGCTGCTCAATTCGTAGCTGTTTCAGTAGAAATCTGCATTATCAAAAGCCCCTGTTGTTATTTTCCTCATCAAATCTCATTTTAGGTACTTTATATAGAAGCTACACTTAATAATAAAATTTAAGTTGCTTCCCTGTATTTATGAGAGACTACTCTATGGGCTTTTATCAATATGATATAAACCCAGTAAACACACCAAATTAATATAGTTCAAACCAAAACAAAGATGACTAATGTTTGCATTAGCCTATACTATTTATTGTGGGTACATGAATAAAATTAATCCTTAAGAAGATTCTTAGGGGACTAGGAGGCCCTCAGTTAGGAAACTAACCCAGAAGCCTAATTAATCATGGCAGCCAGTTTTAAGGCCTGGGAACTCAGCTTATAAATCAGTGAGGAATATGTAAAAAATACATTTTAAGATCTCAGTTAGTATGCCATAAAACCTGATAAATCTATCGACTTTTAAGTATATTACTGCTTTTAACAATAGATTAACCTTTGTAGCCACCATTGTCTAAGTTATTTTTACTATCCTAAATGTGTACGGTATGGGTTTCTAATTCATACTTTACAGGCCATAGTAAAAATATGAGGATCAAATGGGAATCATAATATTTTTATCTCTGAGAGAAATGTTTTCTTTCTTGAGGGTCTACTCTTTAAAGTGCCCTGGATCTTCAGTGTTTTCTGCAGTGACAAATTCTCTCAGTTTTTGTTTATCTAGGATGTCTTTATTTCTCCTCCATTTTTGAAGCATAGATTTGCTGTATATAGAATTCTTACTTGACAGTGTTTCTTTTAATATTTTTCATTCCATTGCCTTCAGGCAATGAAAAATTATGAGAAATTGGCTGTTAATCTTACAGAGCATCCCTTACACATGAATTGCTTCTCTCTTGTTACTTTTTGAGGTTCTCACTTTGTTTCTGGTTAAAACAGCTTGACTAAGATGGGTCTCGATGTAGTACTTCTGCATTTACTTTGCCTGAAACTTGCTGAGCTTATTGGTTGTATAGATTCATGTCATTCATCAAATGGGATATTTCCAGCAACTATTTCTTTAAAGATTCTTTCTGCTCATTTTCCTTCATACTCTCCCTCTGGGATGGCCACTGTGCAGATGCTGGCATGCTCGAGGGTGTCTCGCAGGTCTCTGAGCTCTATTCAGTTTCCTTCATCCCTGCTCCTCTCTGTCCCTCAGACTGGATACCCTCAGCTGAACCATCCTGCTCAAGTCTGCTGCTGATCACCTCCACTGGTTTTTCTTCATTGTAGTTAGCACACCTTTCAACTCCAGAAATCTATTCCCTTGTTTTTTTGTACTTTCTGTCCCTTAGGTGAGACATTGTTCTCACTTTCCTTTGGTTTCTTTACACATGGTTTCCTTTAGTGACTAGAAACACATTTCCCATAGCTGATTTGATGAAAGTCTTTGTCTAGTGAGGAGCACGTCTGGACTTTCTCAGAGTCTGTTGTTTTGTTTTTGTTTTTCCTGAACATGGGCCATTCTTCCTCTGTTCTTCACATGTTTCATAATTTTGTGTTGAAAACTGGACATTTTTGATAATATGATAGAGGGAGAAGCTCAGAACATGGATCCAGCCCCACCTAGGGTGTGTTGTCACTATTGTTGTTATTTGATTGTTTAGTGACTTTTCTGGACCAATTTTATAAAGTCTATGTATATTGCCATATGTGACCACTGGAGTCTCTGCTTGGTTCATTTAGTTGTCAGCTAACTAGACAAAGATTTCCCTAAATGTCTATAGCCAGTAAGTCCACCATTCCTTACCAAGGCAGTCTGCATCATGTGAGGGCGAAGCTTTGGCAGGCAGCCTATGGCTCTGCCCTCCTTTAGTTCCTGCTCGTGCAGAACCTGAAGATCAGCCAGATGTGACACAGGCACTTCTCAGATTGTTTCTATGCACACACACAGCCCTGGGCATGTATGCAGGCTTCTGGGTTTCCAGGAATACATCAGAGCTTTTCACGGCCTCCTAGGGAAATCTCTTTCCTCAGATTCTCCTTTTAAGCTTTTTGGTTAGCCTACTGTTATCCACTACGACAAGCAGCCATGATGTTAAACAAAGTAGCCCGTCATTATTTTTGACAAATGCCCGGAGGAACATGCTGTTCATACTGGCTAAATTCCCCATCAGATCAGATTAAGGCATGCATCACAAGTAGGGTCTTCTGGGGAACCAGCAGACAGGTCAATGATAATTCTTTGGGAATGGAGCTCTAAGGAGTTCTGACATTGTTTGGCCCATTCCAGGGTCTGCCAGGTTGCTGATTCCAACTGTGATTGTGGGCTGTTGGTTTTCAAGGCTACTGCAAAGCTAGGGAGAGGAGGATGGGAACAGTGAAAGTTAAAACACCATAGAGCTTGCTGTTCTTACTGGTAGTCAACAATTTTTCTTGAGAAACACTTTCCATATTGCAACAAACTGATGCAGAAAATTTTGTCAATTGCTTTTATGGAGGAGAGGACTTTTTAGAAGTCCTTATTACATAATTCTGGCTGATGTCACTTAAAATGCCCTGAAATTTTTGAATAGTGAACAAAAATCATATGAAACTACTTAGAAAGACAGACCATTTATCTAGTAGAGATTGTATGGGGTTTCACTAAAAGATGCCACTAAAATGCCTTGATGGTGTGAGGCAATTATCAGATAAGACACCACAGTGAATCTCCTCTTAGAAAGAATTTCTCATAATTAAATGTCAATGTGCAAGAAATGTTGTGTAATAATTAAGATCCCAGTCTTTGGAACTAGCCAACGTTGGGTTCAAGCCCTGAGTCTGTCTCCTCCTTAGTAGCTTTAACTTGAGCTTTGAATAAGTTACTGCACGTTTGCAATACACTAATAAGAACTACTGATTCATAGATTTGTATTAAAATCAAACTAAACTAACAATAGTAAAGTGCTTGGTACAGTTCATGGCCCATAGCAAATGCTAAAGAAATTTTAGCTTCTCTTGCTATTATCATCATTAAGAATATAGTTTGACATTGCTAACAATAATGCTGAACGTTTGCCTGAATGTGATTCTTTAAGAGTTACTTTCAAAATGGGAAATTAATAAAAACTACTTGACTCACACTACTTTGATTTCTATGCAATTCCAGGCACTGTGGTGGTCCAGCAGTTGATGTCAATGATGATTAGCAAACATGATCACCTCTTCCCCAAAGACGCAGAACTGCAAAACAAGCCGCAAGATGGAATAAGCAACAACAATGAAATTCAGAAGAAAGCCATGGTGGGTCAGCTGCAGAATAAGGAGAACAATAACACCAAGGACAGTCCTAGCAGGCAGTGCTCTTGGGACAAGTCCGAGTCTCCCCAGAGAAGCAGCATGGATAACGGATCCCCCACATCTCTATCGGGCAGCAAAACTAACAGCCCCAGGGGCAGCATTCACAAGCTGGACGTCTCTAGGAGCCCCCCGCTCACGGTCAAAAAGAATCCCGCCTTCAATAAAGGCAGTGGGATAGTCACCAATGGGTCCTTCAGCAGCAGTAATGCAGAAGGTCTTGAGAAAACCCAGAACACCCCCAATGGGAGTTTACAGGCTAGAAGGACCTCTTCCCTGAAAGGGTCTGGCACCAAAATGGGTACCCACAGTGTACAGAACGGAACGGTGCGGATGGGTATTTTGAACACAGACACCCTTGCGAACCCCATGAACGGTCGCAGCATGAGCTGGCTGCCCAATGGCTATGTGACCCTGAGGGATAACAAGCAGAAAGAACAAGCGGGAGAGTCAGGCCAGCACAACAGGCTGTCCACCTACGACAACGTGCACCAGCAGTTCCCCATGGTGAACCTTGATGACAAGCAGAGTGTGGACAGCGCCACCTGGTCCACGTCCTCTTGTGAAATCTCCCTCCCTGAGAACTCCAACTCCTGTCGCTCCTCCACTACCACCTGCCCGGAGCAAGACTTTTATGGTGGGAACTTTGAGGACCCTGTCCTGGATGGGCCCCCACAGGATGACCTTTCCCACCCTGGGGACTATGAAAACAAAAGTGACCGGAGGAGTGTGGGAGGCCGCAGCAGCCGAGCCGCCAGCAGCAGCGACAACAGTGAGACATTCGTGGGCACCGCCAGCAGCCACAGCGCCCTGCACAGCTTAGTTTCCAGCCTGAAGCAGGAAATGACCAAGCAGAAGATAGAGTACGAGTCCAGGATAAAAAGGTGAGGAAAATCGGGGGCTCATAACTGCCAGAGGGGGTGCGATAGCCTCCTCCGGCAGATAGGCGTACACAGAGGTTTTAGGATGCTGGTTCCAGGGCTACAGACCCGCATTCATGTGCTGGCTTCCCGTTTGGTACTTGTGGGGCTTTGGGAAAGTGCGCTTCATCTCCGTGAGCCTGTTTCTTAGCATGGAAACTTAACTACTAGTAGTGTTTACCTCAAAGGCACATAATAAATCACTGAGCATCACCCCTGACACAGAATAGTGCTCAATAATGCTCTCTCTTGTTATGATTAAATGTTAGAAGGCTGGAAAGAGGGGAGTTGGGACGAATGGAGAATAAGGAGCTTGTTTAAACTGACAGGATGAGGATGAAATGAGGGTTTTTAAAAAGTTGCAGAAGTAAGCAGGTCTTCATTTTTCATTCTTTAGATCATTGAATGTTGAGAGAGTGCCTCCTATCTGCTAGGCTCAGTTCCAGGCCCTGAGGGTCAGCAGTGAATAAAACAGATAAAAACTCAGCTCTCAGAAACATGCTTCCATTCTCCTTGAGGAGTCAGATAAACAAGCAAAATGATCCAGTGCTAAATAGAATGCTAAAGCAGGGAAGAGGGGTATGAAGTGTTGGTGAGGGTCAACTTTAAGTATAGAGCCTTTTAGGAAGTTCTAGAGAAAGCTGTGCAGATGCCTGGGGGGAAAGGCCAAGGCTGACGCCGTGTGATGGGCTGGGTGAGGCACTCAGAGCCCCAACAGCCCAGGTGTGCTCAGGATCATGTTCAGTCTTTGGCTTTTACTCTGAGGTTGAAATCTATGGAGGTTGTTGAGGAAAGTGATGACATGAAGTGTATTCAAATGGATAAGGGCAATTGTTACCTCAATGGGGAGCAAAAACTCTGATTTATAAGAAAGCAACTATGCTAACACCTAATTTATATCAGTTTCCATCTTCTCACTCAATGACCAAGGTAAAGTTTGCTCAACAACTCCTCTAGGGAAGTAACTCAGGCAAGACATAGGGCATTAGCTGAGGGACCTGTGTTCGAAGTGCCTCTGAATTTCAAATGTCCCATGGACTGGACAGGCAGGAATACAGAGGATGGAGTCCGGGACCCACAAATAGAACCTTGTACAGGAAAACTGAAGGTCACCACCCTTGCATTTTCACTGTGGTTATAGAGATTACAAAACTGATTATTTTTATGTTCTCCTTTCAGCATAGTGTAGGGAAAAGAACACTGTACTCCAAAGTCAGGAGACCCCAAGGCTTGGCTCAGTGTGCCATGGTCCCTCTGGTGGTCTCAGTGCCAGTCTCTGTCCATGTGGCTGGGTGACTGTCCTCTTGCACCGCATCCTCAGAGCCTCACAGTGTGAACATCAGCCTTTACTTCATGCTGCTTCCATGGTCCAAATCTCACATGGTTTCTTTTTAATATATAAGACTTTATTTTAAAATGTGTCCCATCTATATATCAATTATCAGGCCAGAAAATATGTATTTTCAAGAGCTGTGGTTAATTTAAACTAAAATGCTACTTAAATGTTATATTGAAAACTTGGCTGAACAGAAACTTGAATTTTTCTATATAATGCTGACTAACAGAATCTTTAAATAAGAAAAACAGCATTATTATCATATAAAGTTACTCTTATTTCTGGATGCAGTTTTTGGAATCATTGGCTATCAGAACTCTGATTTTCTGCCAATGCCTGATGATAAATTAGCACTTAGCACTGGGAAGCAAGAGTTAATGCTTTAAACCTGCATTAGGAGAGGAAAAAGTTATCCTGTATGGCTACAGATGTAGCCATTTATGAGAACACTGGTGATATGTTTATGTTCTGCGATCTATGGTGCCTTTCAGAGACTTTGATAAAAATAAGAGACCTTTCCACTAGAGCACCATCTCAGTGGATGCTTTCTCTGTAGCGTTCCCACCATCTGACAGGTAGAGGGACAGGGTGGCAGTAAGGGAGGGCAGAGGTCCTGCTATGTGCCCAAGCCACAGAAATACAAGGGTAATTGTTTTAGGTAATTTTTGATCATTCCTATTAAAGTTACATTTCTCTTTCAATTCCTTTTTAACTCCACCCCACAAATATTGAGGTTAGATAGATACATAGATGACAGATGATGCAGATGATAGAAAAGATTTTACTTTAATATCTATCACTGACATATATGTTTTTTAGTTTTTAAACATGAGAGTTTGGTGTACTTTCTTCCTCTAAATAGTTTCTAACTTTATTATAGTGTGGTCAGAAAAATCCAGTTGTATGATATCAATTAATTGGTCTAGTAAAAATTAATTATGCTCTTATTGGTTTGGGATTCTATATATAACTAATATATCAAATCTGCTAATAAAGTTGTCCAAATCTTTTACATTTTTCCTAATTTTTATCAGATCTACAATTTCTGAGAAAGAAAATCTAATATATCATGGATTTATCCATTTCTCCTTATAATTCTATTATATTTTTACCTTGTATAATTTCCAGCTTTTCCACTAGGTGCATGAAAGTTCAAAATTGTTTATATCTCCCTGATTGATTGGTCCTTTCATCATTAAGGAATAGTCATCTTTAATTGTAAAAATACTTTTTTGCTAAATGTCTTTTTTTCAGAGATCAGTAACATTATAGCATTTAAATTTTAATTAGTAACTTCCTGGTATGAGACTTACACTATCTAACAACGATATTTTCATTATCATTATTTTTCCTTTGATAGAAAGAAAATGTAATTGCCCTCTTTTCCTTTTGACGTTATCACACTTTTTCCGTTCTTTTAGTACATCTCACTTCACGTTTAATGACCCCAGGAAGCCGTGCAGCCTGGCCTGCCTCCGGCATCTGCCATCTGTGATACCTGACATCGGCCTCCAGGTCTCTGTGCTGACATTCATTCAATCACTCTCAAATGATAACTAAGTTTTCCCAAAGGAGGTGCTGGGGTCTTCTGGTTAAAATGATACTATACTGTTTTAACAAATAGTAAACAAAACAAAACAACAAAAAGCACCTTTTCAATCACTGAACCTTGCTTCACCGATCTAAAAGGGCTCATCCCAATTTCCTAAGCATTGCAGCGACAGCCTTCACAAAATATTTGAGTTCCTCTCACATTTCAAGTGAATAAAATCACTTTATCTCTTTCTCCTCCCTCACCCTTTGTAGCTTAGAACAGCGAAACTTGACTTTGGAAACAGAGATGATGAGCCTCCACGATGAACTAGATCAGGAAAGGAAGAAGTTCACGATGATAGAAATCAAGATGCGAAATGCCGAGCGAGCAAAAGAAGATGCAGAGAAAAGGAATGACATGCTTCAGAAAGAAATGGAGCAGTTTTTTTCTACGTTTGGGGAGCTGACAGTGGAACCCCGAAGAACCGAGAGGGGAAACACGATATGGATCCAGTGAGCCTGCTTCAGCCCGCGGTCTCCCATGGATCTGGGAAGGGCTCGGGGGGTTCTGGTGGAAATATTAAATGGGACCAGGTGGCTGGTCACCTGGCCGTACAGTGCTCTCCCTGTGAAGGAATATCATTTACAGACATTAACCATCCATTTCTGCAGTGTGTACCAAAGTTATATTCTCATGCCCATGATGCTACTGTCAAGTGTTACAACTGGATATGTGTATATAGAGTAGTTTTTAAAAAAGTAAACTAAAAATTAGCATATCTCAAGAATTATTTTATTGCAAGCCTTGTATTTAAAATGTTAAATCAATATGTTGTTGCAATTTAGCTTGCTTTCAAGCTTCACCCCTTGCACTTAACATAAGCTATTTTTGGCATTGTGTTATCTATCATCAGCTTATTTTATAGATCAATATTTTTATTTCCCCTTTTGCTGAGGAAATGAAGATAAGCAGATATATAAATATATATAAATATATATAAGATGAGTTATTAAAATCAAAAGAATACTTTGTGGCTGTGCTGTTTGTGCCAATAGTCCTTTACCATGACCAAAAAGAGAAATGTCAAGAATTTTATAAAATACAGTAGAATCACCAGGTCTCTTTGAACTGCTTCTCAAATTCTTCCCTCGACACTGCTCAGTGTTCCTTGTGAGAAGACCTGAGACAGGAAATTTTGGACCCTGTAAAAAAGTCCCCTTCTCGAGCCCCATTGTCTGCCTTGCCAGTTCCACCTATGCATGTCTGTCTGCTCAGCAGGATCACCTCAGGAGGGAAAGACGGTAAAGAAAAGCATCTAACTAGTCATGCCTTGAATTATTCGGACCTTCTCGACTGACTGTAACTGTTAGATAGTTACAAAAGAAATTCTTCCTGCTATTTGGAAGGTGAGAAACACTGCTTGCTAAATTGTGCCCGCATGAACACCCGTTCTCCACCCGGCACCCCACCCCACCCCCAACAGCCACATGGCAGTGACGGCACCGCTGTGTCCCTCAGTTAAGCTGCTAGAGGGTTGCCGTAGGGCAGTATTTCTCCTCTCTCAGGCTGACTGTTCTGCTGTTACTTGGGACTCTCTCTAGGAGGCAGCTGGCAAGGGCAATTTGCAGCAAGAGGGAGGTGCTGGAGGGCACCAGAGGAGGTAACAAGTTTACAAGAAACAAATCACTTTACTTCCAGTTTTTACAATATTGCCCTCTTCTCTGTTGAAAACATACCCATTCACAATTAATTTTAAAACATGAATGCTTAAAGATCCAATTTTAACATATTTGTGAACATCAGTAATGGGAACTTTCTAGAAATGCCCAGGGCTCTCTGGAGCTAGAGTTTGGGAAGAACAATTCTTCATATTTCAATCAGGCAATGATTTTTGAGAAGCCAGGCAAATACATCTTTCTCACATGAGAACTAAAAGACATATCCGGAAATAAAGGCTACTTGAATTATAGGATTGTGTTGGTTGCAGGTTCTCTGTGTATATTTATTTATTTTCAAGGGAGAGAGTGGTCCATACAGCAGTCATCCTTGTCCCTGCCCTGTTTTTGTTCATATCCTTCCACTGAACTAGTTTCCGTGGTCCTTTGAGCTCAGCCATGACCTATACAGCAACACCTTCTTTATTTGCAGCTCTCTTTTCTCTTTCCAGTTTTTTAACCACACTCTTTTACCGGATATACTATAGGAAACTCAAACCAGTGGGCAAGTTTGATCTCAGTATGTCTTTCCCTAGTTTTCTTTCTTTTAATATTTATCATTTATTTTATATGCCTCAGTCCAAGTATGTTTCTTTTTCTTTTTTTAAATTAAGTTATCATTGATATACACTCTCATGAAGGTTTCACAAGAAAAACAATGTGGTTACTACATTCACCCTTATTATTGAGTTCCCCCCCCCACCCGTATCCCATTGCAGTCACTGTCCATCAGTGCAGTAAGACGCCACAGAGTCCCTGTTGTCTTCTCTGAGCTACACTGTCTTCCCTGTGACCCCACACACACCATGTGCACCAATCATGATACCCCACAATCCCCTTCTCCCTCTCTCCTCACCTGCCCTCCCCCATCTCTCCCCTTTGGTAACCACTAGTCCCTTCTTGGAGTCTGCTGGTTTCCCCAAGTGTAGACAGTCTGCTGCAGCCTGTTGCTCTTTCAGAATTTGGTGTATTTGTTATATTTTCATATTATGTGTGGTTTTGAGACAAGTTCTCTGTCTCACCTCCATGCTGCCATCTTTAATCCTCTCCCCTGCAACCACCATTTTTTAAGAGCCAAATCAAAAGTCATCTCCGCTGTGCATATCTCAATGCACAATCACCTTTTCTGATCCCAGTTTGCATGTATCTTTTTTAGCCTTTCCCACATCTTATTATTTTCTTCAGCAGATAATAATCGTTGTAGGAGGCAGCACAGTAGAATGGAAATAGCAAGAAACTAAGAGCCAAACAGAGCTGGATATGCATCTCAACATGCCTCAGCCAAGATGTGTAGCAATGAGACATCACTTAGCCTCTCTGATCTCAGTTTCATCATCTGTAAAGTGGAGCCAATAATGCCCACAAAGTAGGGATGTTGTACTACTGAAAAATGGTATTTAATGTGACTACCCCAGTGTGGCACTTAGCTCCACTGATAGCTCTACTGATAAATGGAGCTTCTTAAGGTACCAGAATTGTCTCATACTTATCTTAAATCCCTCCCTCTCCACCATACATGTGGCATATTATGCCATAGAATGCTAGTCCAGAGATTTAGCAATACATTTTGCCTTTGAATTAGGAGGGATGCTTTTATTAATTTTAATTATTGATTTCAGTGATCTTGACCTCCAATCCATGAGCAGTTTGTCCATCTGAATTTCTTTTCTTTTATTAATTCAGTTAAGGTCCTAAAAATATCCATTGCAAATCAACATAATGATAAATTAGAAAAAGGTAGGTGGTATCAAGAGTCCTTTGCTACATCCTATACACACGTCTTTAAAACTATTTAGGTAACTATAATGATTCTTAAATTATGAGTTCAGGAAAAGAGGATTTGCTTTCAAGTGTTGAGCCTACAAGACTGGTTTCACTAGTCACAGTATTTGGGTAGGGGTCTATTAGAGAACACCTGAAGTGGAATTGACTGTGATGTTAGGTCAGCTGAAGTCCATATTTTTTAATGTAATTTTCATATGTAATTTTATTATGAAATGATGAAAAAGCCCAAGTGGAATTTAAATAATGTCATTCCCATCTATTTTTATTTATTCACAAGCAGAGCCCACCTTTTAAAAAATTAGATCATTCCCAAGTAGGGTGGATTAAATCACTACATATTTATCTCACCTTGCAAATTTAAGAGCCTATTTAAGACTGTGATGCTGGCCACAAACCACCCAGTGTCCCTTACATTGCAGAGCTATACTTGCTTAGAGTAACATCATTGAAAGGATATGCGTGAGCTTTTGGAATCAGAGACGTGGATTCAAGTCACAGCTGTGTCACTTTGTAGCTATAAGAACTTGAGTTACATAATGTTTGTAAGGCTTAATCTGTTTTTTCTATAAAATAGTATAATGTCGTCTCTTACCATTAGGTTTTTTAATAAGAATAAGATGAGTGAAGCAAATAGCACATTCGTATAGTAAGGCTAGAGCAATAAATGGTAGCCATCAGCCCCAAATTTACTTATATTGAAGCATGTTCCAGCTTCTAGAAAACATAATACAGTTTTGGCGTCAAGAATTTGGCCAATAATGAAAGAGTAACATGCTCACCAGCAGAGGGTACATTATGTTCCTTTCCCAGAGACTCTCAAGAGCCTGATGGCAAGGCGGCAGCACCTCAAAGCCGTTCTGCTCTGAGATGGCACAGCTCCACCTGTGGCCTGAGAATAAGGCCCACAGAAGTACCTGTAGCAGCCCCACATCCACTCTGTCACGTGGACACTGCAGGTGTTGGGTATGAAAGGTATTGAGTAAAATCTATGGAAAGTGTCTGAGGGAATGACCAGTGAACACATGTGGACTCGCGTTCCCCGGTAGTGAATGTTTACTGAAGGCCAGCACTAGGCAAGGTGCCCTGGGGTTCCTAGTTTACAATGACTACCACATTAGCTGATGTTCTATGAAAGGAACTAAGGGATCCAAAAGGCCGGGAAAGGCTGCAGAGCCGTGACTATGACAGAATCCTGAAGGATGAACAGGAAGTTATCAGACAGGTGGCAGTTTGGGGCAGGGGCCTCCTACATATGCAGGAATAGTATGTGCAAAGTTGCCTTTAGCACAGACTTTAGGGAGCTTTGCAGTTAAATAAAAATGACTTACCACACATGCGCCATTAAGGTGGTGCTGTGTATCAGCTCCACTGATAGCTCTACTGATAAATGGAGCTTCTTAAGGTACCAGAATTGTCTCATACTTATCTTAAATCCCTCCCTCTCCACCATACATGTGGCATATTATGCCATAGAATGCTAGTCCAGAGATTTAGCAATACATTTTGCCTTTGAATTAGGAGGGATGCTTTTATTAATTTTAATTATTGATTTCAGTGATCTTGACCTCCAATCCATGAGCAGTTTGTCCATCTGAATTTCTTTTCTTTTATTAATTCAGTTAAGGTCCTAAAAATATCCTGAAAAATATCTCATGCACGCCATGAGACCTGAAAGGACCTGGGAGGCTTCCACTCTTTCCTTCAAAGAAACAAGCCAGAACTTAATACATCCTGCCTTGTGTGGATTCACAAACCACAGAAAAAAAGCAGCTCCCAAAGGTCTCCTGAATTATTCTCTTTCTGGTCTTCTTAATTGAGCAAGTGGGGAATGAATTGACTACCCAGCTTAAGGGCCTTTTACTGCAAAGTGACTTGGAAAACAGTTCCCTAGGCATCCAAAACCTACTGAACTTACAGTAGATATTTAACTAGAAAGCCTAACTGATGAAAAGTCTTTTTAATGCACCATTTGTGGCTCAGGTCCATGGCTAAATGACATTATTTATGGATTCCATGTGGCTGCAACCATTATGGCCCCTGGAGGACCAAACCTATTGAGACCACCCATATAACAGGGAGGGTTACCTGTCAGTGGAGAGTACAGGTAACAGGATAATACTGAATTGTTTGACTAAGGAGTCAAAGTGGCACTATTTGCTGTGAGGACAATTGTCTCTTAGCTCTGGGGTCATCCATCCCAGTTCCCTCAACATGCTCACTCCCAGCCTCCTCAGGATTGATTAGAACTCATGATATACCACCCCAAAGTAAGCCCCAGGGTTTTGCCACATGCCCTCGTCCTTCATTACCTTTTGACAAAATAGCCCTAACTCCTGAGTCACTGCCTTCTCTAGTATGCTTATCCCCATAACTGCTGAGCATATTACTTCATTTACTTCACACTGATCTCCTCTCCACTCCTCCACCTGTTCCATTATAACATCTAGATTTTACAGTTCCATCATCCTCCCCTAAACTTTCTTCTCTGACACATGCTCACCTCCCTGCAGCCCTCTCAAGGGTGGTGATTTTTCCTTCCCACAACCTGCGTGTCATTAGCCTGAAGGAGAGGCAGTGCTGCCTTTGCTCTTGACTGCTACATCCACACCTTTGGTATTCCTTTCTCCCTAATAACTTCCTTGGAAGTATATCTCATATGACTGGGTATTTCAGCCACTAAACAACTGTTTTTCCCCCACCAGGATTCATACGCCATCCACCAACTTGGCTGCTCAACAACCTGACCCATTCATTTCTTGAAAACCTTGATCTCCTTCTGCTAGAATGTCAGACACTTGCACCTTACCTCATGTCACACCAATAATTGCACCAAAATGTCCACTTCAATCTCTCATCACCACCTATGCACCAAAATGTCCACTTCAATCTCTCATCACCACCTATTTCTCTTTTAGGTCACTCCTTTTAGCAACATCACCCCAACCGTCCTTGGATACACCCAAAGTACCTCCAATTCCCTCCTTAACTAGTGTGGCTTCTGCAGTTCTTCATCATAATTATTCTCTTGTCCCCATTCTCTCATCCTTCATATTCTCTTTCACCACTGTACTCATCTGAGAAGAAAACAAAACAAACAAAAAACCCCACTCTGGCTAGATCCAATTTCTGCTTACTCCTAACCTGTACCTAAGAAACTAAGTACGACTGGAAAGCCAAAGACCGTCACGCTGATCGTCTCGCTCCTGTGTATTGATTTCAGTGATCTTGACCTCCAATCCATGAGCAGTTTGTCCATCTGAATTTCTTTTCTTTTATTAATTCAGTTAAGGTCCTAAAAATATCCATTGCAAATCAACATAATGATAAATTAGAAAAAGGTAGGTGGTATCAAGAGTCCTTTGCTACATCCTATACACACGTCTTTAAAACTATTTAGGTAACTATAATGATTCTTAAATTATGAGTTCAGGAAAAGAGGATTTGCTTTCAAGTGTTGAGCCTACAAGACTGGTTTCACTAGTCACAGTATTTGGGTAGGGGTCTATTAGAGAACACCTGAAGTGGAATTGACTGTGATGTTAGGTCAGCTGAAGTCCATATTTTTTAATGTAATTTTCATATGTAATTTTATTATGAAATGATGAAAAAGCCCAAGTGGAATTTAAATAATGTCATTCCCATCTATTTTTATTTATTCACAAGCAGAGCCCACCTTTTAAAAAATTAGATCATTCCCAAGTAGGGTGGATTAAATCACTACATATTTATCTCACCTTGCAAATTTAAGAGCCTATTTAAGACTGTGATGCTGGCCACAAACCACCCAGTGTCCCTTACATTGCAGAGCTATACTTGCTTAGAGTAACATCATTGAAAGGATATGCGTGAGCTTTTGGAATCAGAGACGTGGATTCAAGTCACAGCTGTGTCACTTTGTAGCTATAAGAACTTGAGTTACATAATGTTTGTAAGGCTTAATCTGTTTTTTCTATAAAATAGTATAATGTCGTCTCTTACCATTAGGTTTTTTAATAAGAATAAGATGAGTGAAGCAAATAGCACATTCGTATAGTAAGGCTAGAGCAATAAATGGTAGCCATCAGCCCCAAATTTACTTATATTGAAGCATGTTCCAGCTTCTAGAAAACATAATACAGTTTTGGCGTCAAGAATTTGGCCAATAATGAAAGAGTAACATGCTCACCAGCAGAGGGTACATTATGTTCCTTTCCCAGAGACTCTCAAGAGCCTGATGGCAAGGCGGCAGCACCTCAAAGCCGTTCTGCTCTGAGATGGCACAGCTCCACCTGTGGCCTGAGAATAAGGCCCACAGAAGTACCTGTAGCAGCCCCACATCCACTCTGTCACGTGGACACTGCAGGTGTTGGGTATGAAAGGTATTGAGTAAAATCTATGGAAAGTGTCTGAGGGAATGACCAGTGAACACATGTGGACTCGCGTTCCCCGGTAGTGAATGTTTACTGAAGGCCAGCACTAGGCAAGGTGCCCTGGGGTTCCTAGTTTACAATGACTACCACATTAGCTGATGTTCTATGAAAGGAACTAAGGGATCCAAAAGGCCGGGAAAGGCTGCAGAGCCGTGACTATGACAGAATCCTGAAGGATGAACAGGAAGTTATCAGACAGGTGGCAGTTTGGGGCAGGGGCCTCCTACATATGCAGGAATAGTATGTGCAAAGTTGCCTTTAGCACAGACTTTAGGGAGCTTTGCAGTTAAATAAAAATGACTTACCACACATGCGCCATTAAGGTGGTGCTGTGTATCAGCTCCACTGATAGCTCTACTGATAAATGGAGCTTCTTAAGGTACCAGAATTGTCTCATACTTATCTTAAATCCCTCCCTCTCCACCATACATGTNATCCTGCCTTGTGTGGATTCACAAACCACAGAAAAAAAGCAGCTCCCAAAGGTCTCCTGAATTATTCTCTTTCTGGTCTTCTTAATTGAGCAAGTGGGGAATGAATTGACTACCCAGCTTAAGGGCCTTTTACTGCAAAGTGACTTGGAAAACAGTTCCCTAGGCATCCAAAACCTACTGAACTTACAGTAGATATTTAACTAGAAAGCCTAACTGATGAAAAGTCTTTTTAATGCACCATTTGTGGCTCAGGTCCATGGCTAAATGACATTATTTATGGATTCCATGTGGCTGCAACCATTATGGCCCCTGGAGGACCAAACCTATTGAGACCACCCATATAACAGGGAGGGTTACCTGTCAGTGGAGAGTACAGGTAACAGGATAATACTGAATTGTTTGACTAAGGAGTCAAAGTGGCACTATTTGCTGTGAGGACAATTGTCTCTTAGCTCTGGGGTCATCCATCCCAGTTCCCTCAACATGCTCACTCCCAGCCTCCTCAGGATTGATTAGAACTCATGATATACCACCCCAAAGTAAGCCCCAGGGTTTTGCCACATGCCCTCGTCCTTCATTACCTTTTGACAAAATAGCCCTAACTCCTGAGTCACTGCCTTCTCTAGTATGCTTATCCCCATAACTGCTGAGCATATTACTTCATTTACTTCACACTGATCTCCTCTCCACTCCTCCACCTGTTCCATTATAACATCTAGATTTTACAGTTCCATCATCCTCCCCTAAACTTTCTTCTCTGACACATGCTCACCTCCCTGCAGCCCTCTCAAGGGTGGTGATTTTTCCTTCCCACAACCTGCGTGTCATTAGCCTGAAGGAGAGGCAGTGCTGCCTTTGCTCTTGACTGCTACATCCACACCTTTGGTATTCCTTTCTCCCTAATAACTTCCTTGGAAGTATATGTCATATGACTGGGTATTTCAGCCACTAAACAACTGTTTTTCCCCCACCAGGATTCATACGCCATCCACCAACTTGGCTGCTCAACAACCTGACCCATTCATTTCTTGAAAACCTTGATCTCCTTCTGCTAGAATGTCAGACACTTGCACCTTACCTCATGTCACACCAATAATTGCACCAAAATGTCCACTTCAATCTCTCATCACCACCTATGCACCAAAATGTCCACTTCAATCTCTCATCACCACCTATTTCTCTTTTAGGTCACTCCTTTTAGCAACATCACCCCAACCGTCCTTGGATACACCCAAAGTACCTCCAATTCCCTCCTTAACTAGTGTGGCTTCTGCAGTTCTTCATCATAATTATTCTCTTGTCCCCATTCTCTCATCCTTCATATTCTCTTTCACCACTGTACTCATCTGAGAAGAAAACAAAACAAACAAAAAACCCCACTCTGGCTAGATCCAATTTCTGCTTACTCCTAACCTGTACCTAAGAAACTAAGTACGACTGGAAAGCCAAAGACCGTCACGCTGATCGTCTCGCTCCTGTGTAAGTGTGGCCCACACGGCTCTCCTCCCTGTGCAGTAACTTAACCTCCACACTTTCCAAAGTCAAATCACACTTCTCACACCTCCGTAAGTCCTTCCACTCCTCATTCTCAACTGATAACCTTGTTTATATGTATTCAGTTACTGATAGCCTGTCTTTACTGAGAAAAAAGACAGTAGCAGAAGATCACATCCTTACATTCCGTCATCATGTCTACCAGACTACCTACGTCTGTCCCATACAGGCCACCTCACCTCCTGCTACAATGATTGTGCCTCCTGCACCAACCAGGCCAACTGCTCTTCTCATATCCTACAGCCCATTATGAATTTTTCTCTTTATAAATTAGTCCCATCAACACATACCCATGCTGTAATAGATTTTTAAAAACGCTTTATTCACCTCACATTTGTGTCTAATTTCAACATCATTTTTCTGCTTCACTTTTTAGAAAAAACTCATGAATTTTATGTACCAGTTTCTAAATCCTCACCTCCCATATTCTCTTCAACACACTGGAGCCATGTTTTTCTGCTCAGACCTAGAGTTACTGCTCTAGTCAAGGTCAGAAATGACCTTCACAAAATCAAGTTCAATTGTCAATCTTCAGTCCTCTTCTTTTAGTCACATCATCCCAGTTGCTGATTCCCACATTTTCTGAAACATGTTTACTTGGCTTCCAGGAGAGCACACTCTCCTGGGTTTTCCTCTACCTCACTGGACATTCCTTAGAATACCCTCATGTTTTTGCAAAAAGTACCTCTCTCTTTGGACTTCTTTATCTACACTGAGTCACTTGGTGGTCTCATACGGTCTCATGGTCCTAAATAACACTTGGAGCTGATTACTCTCGGATTTATGTTACAGCTCAACTTGTTCCCTTTATCCCAGCCTTGTACATACTCCTGCTACTTCACTTGGATATCTAATGAACATCCCTAACTGACATGACCCAGATCAAATATGATTTTCTTCCCAAATATGCTCCTAACCCATTGTTCACCATCTCACTCAAGTGTGCCATTATTTACCCCACGGTTTAGGTTTTTTAAAAATCTGGAGTCATGCCCGATCTCTTTCATATTGCTTACCAATACATCTACAAATCTTGTCAACTCTGTATTCACAATACATCCTTTTAAGTGAACCCAGCCACTTCCCAGCACCTCCACTTTCTCATCCAAGCCCCATTATATCTTTCTGTGCTACTGTTAAACCCTACAACAGAAACTTCATTTCCATTCTTTTCTTTCTTCTAACCTCCTCTCTCCACTCAGCAGCCAGAGGGATCCTTCCAAAAAGAAAATTTAGATTATATCATTTCCCTTATCAAATCTGTTCATCATTCTCCCATATTTAGAGTAAAATCCCAAGATCTTGCCATGCTCTGACCCCTGCCTACCTCTTCCATTTCATTCACTATCACGCTTCTCCATTCTTTGTTCACAATCCTGCCATTCCTTATATACACAAATAAGCTCTTACTCCCAGGCCTTTGCATTTGCTTTTCCCTCAGATACTGATACGGCCTATTCCTGCACTGTACTGGGGTCTCTGCCCAAACACCACCTCTTCTGAGAGGCCTGCCCTGACCACCTGGCCTAAATAGCACCTCCCATCATGTTGATCCTTCTAACATGCTTTGTTTGTTCTGTTAGTGCCTTCCACTTCCTCATTTCCCCATTAGATGTAGATTATATAAAGGTGCGAAGGTCTTCTGAATTCACCGCAAGTGTGTATGCCTGTAACAGCCCATAAAAGATTCAGGTGCTCATTCAGTATTTGTAGCATGAAACAGTGAGTGAATATTCAGAACTCATTGTCAAATTTCTGGTTCAGATATTCAGGATGTTCTTAGTTGGACTTATTTATAGAAAATAATGGATGACTAAATTCTACCTTAAGTTGTTTTAGGGCCCAATTCTCACCCACAGACTGAACAAATTTTGGAGATTTGCTTCATATCCAAATATCACTGCAGAGACCCCAGTATCCATCGTGATGTCATTTGCTGATTTGGAAATTTTGAAGACAGAAAATATGAACCACAAGCTCAGCATCTGGGCCAATGGCTCTCAAAAGAAATATGTATCAGAATAAACTTTATGTAATGTAGAAAAGAAACATCCATGCTATTTTTGTTACTTTCAGCCTGTGAATGTTTTATCTATTTTTTCTAGAACACAGATATCATAAGTCATTAATAAAGTCTAAATATGTCATTACATTTCTCCCTTTGTCCGGAGATTGCCACTTAATTAAAACATACTGTCTTGCTTGAGGAGGAATGCCCCTGGGTGAGTTCACTCTGGATTCAGTGATACCGAATAACAACAATGGAATGTTAGGCATAAAAGGGTTTATACCAAGCTTTATTCTCATGGTGGCAGGTAGAGTGCTGTTAGCACATCTGCCTTCTGAGGTGCTGGCAATCTGTCTTTGTCTCTGCCTCAGGGCAGAGGACTGGGGAGAGCTCTTTATATAGTGACTCGGTCAATAATAGCTATTGCCTGTGAGTGTGGAAGCAGTAGACAACACAGCAGACAACAGAGTAGACCAATTATATCAGCGAGTAGATTGGGGTCAGGTGAGGATCATGGCTATAGGAACTTTCATTTTCCCTCCACATATCAAAAGGTAGTCTACCTTTCAATTAAAAAAGCAAGAGTGAGTATACATATATTTCCTCATTAAGTTAATGCAGGCCTTACTAATACTTTTCATCTCCATGCTATTTTAACAAATAAATTATAAAAATGGTTACATTTCTAATGTCATGGGAGATACCCAAAATTTTCTTATACTCATTAAGTGTACTTACATAAAAGTAGACAAAATAACACTAAAAGGAGATTTTTTTTTAGTTTCATTGCTTTAAGGGAATAATAAAAATGGACTCATTCAAGTCACACCACTAATTTGAACACATTGTTACTTTAAAATAAAGTAAATAAATGAGATAAAGATATTTTGCTTCAACCACTCTTTTTTTTTAAAAAAACTGATTTTAAAACCTTTTTCTGAGAAAAAGGACTATGCTGTATTTGTCTCCTACCTAGGACACATTGATAGATGTTCAATAAATGTTTTTGGAGTGAATAAATGTACTACTTAAGAGTGTAGCTCAGAAATTAAGTTAGAAATTTAGAGTGATCCTCTTTGAGCTTGATTTGCACCAAATCCAGTATTTTGCAATATATTAACATTAAGGAAGAAACGACCGCTTTTTGCAAGTCTTCCTTTTATAAAAGAAATACTTTAATATTACTACTTCCCTTAGTCTGTGTAAAATACCATTTGAGTTATAAAAATTGATTTTGTGTATAATTGCTCATAGATAATATTTTTACCCAAGTGGATGTAAAAGTGTTAATGGAAAGCAAAAAATGAATGAGGTATTTTCTAAGCAGAGTGTGAAGCGTTTGTAAGATAAACAACATTGTGCACCTGCTTTTGAGTTGCAAACAATCTGGACTATTGGGTAAACAGGAAGATTCCAGAGAAGATCAGGGAAGGACAGTACCAGAAGTTCAGTGAGAAGGAAGTGAAGCCACCACTCCATAGAGTGAAACTTGACTGCTCTAAATTGTCTTTCAGATGTATTACATTGGGTTTTATACCATGATAAGCATGAAAGAAAGAAATAGGTGACATAGAAACGGTGGGAAATTCCAAAGGGATATGTGACTCTCATTTTTTTATGTATCATCACATTTCATGTATTTGAGAAATATACATTTCTAAAGATTATTTTCAGGAACTAAAATAGAACACACTGGTCTAAAAGGTTAAGCAGATGGGAATGGGTCAGGAGCTAAGAGAGATGACTTGCCCACACAGTGATTCCCTACATGAAGTGATCTGAGATGCTGAGATTTTCAGTGTGTTTCACTACTTGCAATTATCTTCCAGGCCTACCTGGAGAAAAGGAATAGTCCAAGTACAAAAACATCTTCTGATGACTTGGTAATGTCAAAAATTTTTACCTTGGGTACAACCCACTATAGTTGCTGAACAAACAGAATCATCCTTCTAGGTTGGTGGTTACTTAATTAGATGAGAGAGAGTTTTCAAGACCCTTCTATGGTACCTAGTAGGCCCCAATAACTCCTTCTGACACTTTTACTCCATAGGCAATTTTGTGGAATGCAATTTCTTGTTTTAATATTGTGGGTATTTTCAGGTACCTATACTTGGCCATTTTAAAACATTTTATTAAGAGAGAGAAGATCTGTGGTTTAAATTAAAATAGAAGCTATGCCACAGATAACAAAAGGGTTTTGGTTTCTAATCTCCTTATAAATAAAAGGATAAATTATGTTAACTCAAAAGAATAGTTGTGTTTATATTCTAGATTTTCTATAGCTAACAGGTTTAAAAAACGTTTTATTTACAGAAATAGAAGGGCCACTCCTCAAAAATGTTCAGACACTTCCAGCTACATTAACACTGGTTCACTGGTGTCCTAACAAGCCACAAAATCATATATTTTTTAAAATGCACCAAGGAGTTTGAGATATTAAGGTTGGCTACCATGTAAACCAAAACCAAAACCAAAAATGAAAAACAAAAACATTTTACCTTTTCTCTTGGGTAATATTCAAACTGATTAGGAATTCTGATAAATTAACCTAGAATATTTAACCCTGTGCTACTCACCTAACACTCCCAGAAAATGATTTTTTCCTCTTCACTGATTGTATGCCTTAAAGGAGACTTACTGAACTGCGGATATACAACTAGCATCCCCTGAGGGAAATGAAGGTCATTTTTAGAAGAAACCAGTATCAAATGAAAACACAGCCTATACATGGTCACATACATATCACACACTCTTTACCCATAGTGAGAAAGTAGGTCACTCTTCATGTCTTATTTATTCCTGGCACAGTCAGATCCCACCACGGACTCATGGACTCATGCAAGATGCTTCAGAGCCGCTGTCGGGACGTGAGACCCAAGACAAGGAGCCACACACCAACCGGTGTCAATAGGCAAAGTCCAACAAAGACTGGATTGCATTTGGTTTTATGATAAGGGAAGCAATTTGCTCTGGTTTGTAATAACTCATAAGAAACAGAAATCACATTGTATTGACCCAGTACCCATCTACAGAGCCCAAAAAAGCCAAAGTTCTCCACCATTGCCCCCTCAGTCCGTCGACATATTGAAAAACAAACAGAATATAAATGAAAAAGCAAGTGCGAAAGAACACCAAAATGTTTTAAATAATGTCACATCCTTATTAAACGTCACCAAGATTGCGTTTATTCCATCTAGCTGACTTTTTGCTCTTACCACTAAAACCTTGCAGAGCTCCTGGATGTGCACAGTTGTGCCTTCCAGGGTTAGCCTAGAGCTGTAAGGGCGAGGTGTGTGTGAATGTGCGTGTGCTTTAAATCCATTTAATAAACACTGACACAGGACAATTCTCTTAGTTGGTGATAGTCTCCAGGGTCTGATCATGCACAATAACAGGCAGGTGCACGTCAGTTCTCCTGGCAAGATAGACGTGGTGTGGTGAACAGTTTGATGATAAATAAGGGTTGGGAGACTTGTTTCCTCTAGAATATACTGGCCATTGGTCCCACATATAAGTTAGATACACAGCAGTCCACATATAAACAGAGGCCTTCTATTTCAGCTTGAGTGACCAAGTAAATGGGTCAAAATGAACCATTTCAGACAGTGAAAGAACTAAGTGACAGAAGAAGTAACAAAATCTTAAATTACAGTCACATGGAAAATAACAAATACAACTATTTACATTGTCACTATTTGTTGTTTTTACAGAAAGGAGTTTACCTGCTTGCTTTAATGATATCTGTGGGAAAATGTTGGACTTTCACAATTAAAATGCACAGGGAGTTGTGAGTGGGGAAGGGGATTCCTCTTCGTACCCAAAATGGTTGGTATCAAAGGTTCCTGGGACAATGTTATTCCTTTCTCTGAGCTATAGAAGACAAATTTTTCAGCAAATCTGCTGACATTATTTACAGAGTGCAATGATTTCAATACTTAGATTTTCAAATGTTGAGAGTTGAATAGATTTTGTATCATTTGGATTTTGCAGTGAACATTTAAAATTTAAGTCAGTTTTGCTTATTGCTTTTTTTACTCCAGTAGGTCATGAACAGATTTATGTATTCTCATCTATTTCACTTATTCATCAAGGCCTCATTTCTGATTTAACATGCAGCTGCTATCACAGGATCCTTAGGTAATATTTCCTGATAGTGATAACAGATTGAGAAAAGCTCTCCAGCTCCTTGGCCCTCAATTAAACAGTTTACCGCAATTAGAGGGCATTGGCAGGGCCCTGGTGCACCTGTGGTATACATTCCTACAAAACTCAGTCATCAGATTCCTTAAGATACAAGGTTATTATCAGTTCTTAGTCCACCAGAAGAAGTTTGCCTATAAGGCCAACGTATGTCTTTAAAAATGAACACACTGACCCACAAAATACAAATACAAATATCAAAGTGGTGGTGGTTTTGCCAAACTCTCCTAACTATTTAGGTCCTTCTGCACATGGGCATACAGCCATGTCTTCTACAAAATACTACAAAAATCTCACTGAGAATCACTGCAAAACCAATGGCCATAGGAAGTGATTCTGGACCATAGGAAGGAGGTGAGGCCTCGCCAAGTGCCGATTTCACACTTCGCAATGAACCCACGCGGGCAGGACCTTTACTTTTCCCAAGGATATAATCCACATAACTTGACACTTCCTTGTCTGAAATGCAAGGGAGTCCTTTAGATGTAACAGTGACTACATAGGAAATGTTTGTTTTGTTTTGTTTAAGAAAAGAAGACTCAATGCAGAACATAATATATTCTGTGATTTTGATAACAACAGAATCACCTCCTGAAGATACTAAAATAAAGTGGACCCAAGATCATGAAGGTACAGGTGGGCTTTTAAAAATGATGGTTCTCTTTGTTTTCCCATCACCTGTCTTGCTTTAACAATCTAGTGAAATTAATCCTGTAGGCAGTAAAGAAGCCAAACCTTTAGCTCTATTTGCACATGATACTTCAGTCTGAAGGATTTGTTCCATTTTCTCTTGTCCACAAGAGAGTTTAGGCTAAAGGTCATCAGCTCCATTCGACAGGAGAGCTCAGATTAGCAGAGTCTGGGGAGGGTAGAAGAGCAGGAGAGCGCTGCCAGTTCCTACCTGCTTTCATCTGAGTGGGAAAAACCAGCGCTTCTGCACCCATGAGAGACAGTCTAACTGTCAAGAGCTTCTTAGGTGCTGGCTGCAGATTTCCTTCTTTCTTTTGACATTTTGTGGTTGATGAAATATCCCTTGTGACTCACTTTCTTTCAAACAGCTGCCTGCTCTCTGCATGTAAATTACACATGCTGGAAAACTGGGAGTTGAGAGGCCACACGTGTAGCAAGAGAATAGAGAGAAAGGAGTTAAGGAAAGAAAAGGGATAAAGAGAATCTTTAAAAAAAGTGGTGGGGAGAAGTTTGACAGAAAGAAAAGTAAAAGCTCAGGTGAATGTGGAGGCATTTTTCAAATCAGGTTGTCTGCAATATTAACCAAAAAGGATGGCAGCCAGACAGAGAAACAGGGCCACTTTTATTCCACGAACAAGCTGCATAGTCTAGTGGGCTTATTTTCTCCCCATTTTAAACAAATGACCTCTTGTCATGAATCCTACTGTTTGAAGCAATCCTATAAACAGCAGCATTGCTCGCATGGGGATAGTGGGGGGTGATTCTATTGCTTATAAAGGGACACAGCTTCCCCCTTGTTGTATTTAAGGCAGTTTTCAGAGCACTGGCATTCTTGTTTGCTCTATTTTTTAAGGGATTCTGTTTGCCAGTCATGGCACATTCAACAACCATCCATGGCATGTGTTTCATCTCTTCTTCTGGTGAAATATCGCCACAGTGGTGAGCATCACAGCAGCCACAGTGCAAAGAGCTGTGCCGGGTACCCCACCAGAGAGAAGGGGTGAAGGTGAGCTTCCACCCGGCCCGTTATTGCTCAGAAGTCACCCTGGTGTTACCTTATATATAACCAAGATGTTCCACAGTGCCTTCCTAAGTGCTTGGGAAAGCACTTTCATTTAATTTGAGCTAAATTCAGGTGATTTTGCTAAACACGGACATAAATGCTTCATGGCTTTTAAAACAGACTTACATTGCTAAAGCTATTTAGCAGCAGTAACCTGTGGGCAGTTAATGCTGTCACATCGACTGAGTTACAAAACCCAGATTATCAGCCCTTCTTGAATTGTTCGAATTTAGGAAAATAAGTAAATAAACATGAAACATTAGCCATATTGAGGAGTCAGGGGAATCACTGAGGAATAATAATGTCTGTAGAAATGTTTTCATATGCTAACCTGAGGATAACCCTGTGCTTTGTTTTTTCGTTTTTTAAGTAATTAATTTTTTTATTCCAGAAGAGGAAAATAATATTCCTTCTCAAAATAAAACTATGGCAGGCAGGGTATAAACCTGGGAAGTAGCAGTCATGGAAAATGTAATGCACAATCTGAAAATAGTCTAGGCAGGCTCATTTTCTGTTAAAGACGTGCAGAGGCAATTCTGCTGTTCCAGGAAGGGATTCTTACCATCAAATACATACACAATTATCCTGCCTCACCACCTGCCACTCTCTGTCCAGTCGTGACACATAATTTGTAAATGACAAATGGGGTCTACTCTCTAAAACAGGGATGTCAGGTCTCTACTGTCTGGGCAATGACCTTGGTAGGTCCCCCTCCACACTGTAACACTATCCCCTAAGTTTCTCCTGCTCACTGTCAGAGAAAAGACCCTCAGCTTCTATTCCTATCTTCCTTCTAAAGGTTAAACCATTTAGTACCTGGAAACTGCTAACCCCTCCCGCCCCCACACTGTACATAAGCATCACATATGTTCTGTCTACAAATTGGTATACAGGTGCCATTTAATCAGTTCAAATTTGGACACTACATCTTCAAGGGTCCGAGAGAGCTCATTCCCCCCATATTTCCCCCTTTACATGTTTTTCTTGTAAGACATACAGCTTAATTAATTAACAAACTAAAGAGCTTATATACTGGCAATATATTACAGATGGATTTATGTCAGAGTAATAGATCACATGAAATGGACCACATGGTGCCCCAGTGGGTGATGTCTTGGTCGGGCCCTGAGGACACTGACAGCAGCATCTCTAAGGAAATAGTGCCGTCTGAATACAGACACATGCAGATCTGTATCTACATCCATCTGACTGGGCCAAAAGGAGCAGGTAGATGCAAGATAGAGACACACACATGCTGGATGGGGCCACTGCACACTGTGTCATGCCATTTGAAAGGGCAGTTACAGGTCTGGTTTTGCACAAGCCATTGAAAATTACACTTTATGGAAAGGCTTTTCTAATTGTGTTTGGTTTGCTTTCTGTGGTAAGCACTGTGGGAGGAAGGCCAAAGCAAGAGCAGCTAGAAGGTAAGTGTGCATTTGGCTTAGCTGCAGTGCACACTCTGGAGAAGCGGCAGGCTGAAAGATTCATTTCGATTTTAGGCTTGGATTTTCTCCCTTGCATTTTCTTGTCATTGTGTATCTACGTTTGTGTGTGTGCGTGTGTGTGTGTGTGTATGTGTGTGCATGTGTGTGTGTGTTCCATCGCATCATCTCCTGAAGAATGCTGGGTTTCGCAGGCAGGCGGCTAGTCACCTGCAACAACCCAGGGGTCCTGCCGAAGCTTCCAGGCTGCTGTCGGTGTCAGATGCCAGGGTCTGGTCGGTGGACATGGAGGAGATGTCATTGACAGACGAGGATGGAGGGAGACTCTCACTGCTGTTCACTGCTGCACCTGTGCTAAGAAAATGAAGACCAACATGACTAAATCTGCAACTCAGCGTCACCCGGCATGCAGGCACTGGCAGATACAGCAAGGCACGCCTAGCCCTTCATTCATCTACCAAGCCTTTGTATAGGACACTGTAGTAGATGGTGAAAATCAAGCCATAGCCCTTGTCCACAAGTTACAGGCTAGTGCAATAGTTACCAAATCTCATTCTGCCTTAAAAGTCATCTGTAATGCTCTTTTAAAAACTCTACGCAAAATCTCAGGCATCTTCTACACCTCTGATATTATAATATAATTGGCCTTGGGTGGAACCAAGCCATTTGCATTTTTTAAAATTCCCTAGAACTGTGTAGTCAAGGGGTGAAGACCACTGTTCTATGGAGAAAACCCTTTAATGTAATGATCTGTACTTGGATGCTTTTAATGCAGGGAGCTTTTAAAACATAAACATGTAAGGATACTATCCCAGAAATATGGGTTGAGGTGAAGCCTAGAAATCTTAATTACTTGGAGACTATGGCTTTAGAGAAAGGAAGATGGATTAAGTAAATATTACTACATACTCATTAATATGACACCAAGCTTAAAATCCATATAGAACTTTTGATGAAAGTTACCATAAACAAACAACAACAACAAAAATAGTAGGAGAAGCCAGTGCACACCTTTTGATTGTGTGTTGACTTTCTAGCAGTCTTGCTTACTGGGAACCTACAAATATGAACTCTGAGTTGTTAGATTAATTTGCAAAAATTCTTTTATTTATTTGCTATGTGGGTACAAAGATTTTGAACCTCTGAGAAGAAGCTTGCTCATGGTAATCACACCGTAAATACTTGCCAAGTTACAATAGCTTTGAGAACTACAAAGGAAAGATGAGCTAGAGGCATTGGAAAATATAATTAAACTCTAGCACTCCAGAAACAGACAATTTACTTTTTTTTCTTCATATATTCTTTACAGTTAAGTTATACAGGTGGTAAAATGCATGCTTCGTGAACTACTTCGCTATTAAAATTTTATAGTATAATCATTTAATAAAATAAAAGATGAAGAAATTTCACTAAAATTGTATCTTATTCTAGCAAATATAATTCATAAGATATACTTGTTGAGAATTAATAAATCCAAATAATTAAAGTAGTGCTACTACATAGATCTAATAAATCAGGAAAAAAGTCTAATGAAGTGGAAAGGTTAAGACAATCTCTTTGTTCCTGGGGTAGACATTTCTTGCCTGTGAAAGAAATGTGATTAAAATATGACAGTATCTGGAGAGGACCTATACATTTAAACTGGAACAGATTATATGTATCCTATATGTATTTAAAACTTTTATTTGTTGACCACATGAGTTACAGGAAATGTGAAAAAACACAGGTTAAAAAAATAATAGTATGTATCAATCCTCAAAATAATAACTCAAATTTTGGTATATTTCTTCCTAGTGTTTTTGCTTGAAAGTTTCTCTTATTGTGATCTTTTAATATAGTCTTTTGTATCCTATTATTTTCATATACAAAAAAAGCTTATACAGTTCTCCTGTTCTTTAACTCAAAAGTACCAATACCTCCTAATCTTAAATGGCTCTACAATTTGTAAAGCTCTCTTGTTAACCTCTTCCTATAAATAATTACTCTTCTTATCAGAACAATGTGCAATGTAAACTTATCTGACTTAAATTTATTCCAACTTAATTATATATCCTTTATAGATATTGTGCAAGCTAGTTCATTTCCCCTCATGACATATACTACTAGATTGTAGATATCAGCAGACAACCCCTGATTGATTCCCTTACACAGCCCAAATGCACAGCTTTGGTTTTCCTCTTGATTCTGGATTAAATTATACTAGTATCCTCATGTTTTTTCATGAGCTTTAGTCTCTAATAATTTAGTGTCACTGTAATGCACTTCTCAGAATCTTTTTCAGAATTCCACAACCTTAGGTAGAGTTTAAAAGTAGACACAGGACTTGAATAAAAGCTCAACCAGTTGTGGGCCAACAGAGTGAGACTGCTTTGTTCTTACTGTCCATGCATCTCCTGGATGATAAATCTCTATACTGTGGAGGACTTTCAATTCATGATATAACAGTTTAGTTTTGACTTGAAATATGAAATGTTGCCCATATACTTTTTGTAGGATTTTATTGAGATAAAATTTACAAATATAATTTGTAAAACTCATTGTTTTTTAGGATATTCACAAAATTGTGTAACCATCACCACAATCAGCATTGCAGTGCTTTCATCAACCCAAAAGGAAATCCTGCACTGTTTCTTGTCCCCAGCCCTAGGCAATGACTAGGCTACTTTCTGTCTATAAAATTGCCCATTCTGGACATATATAAATGGAATCATACTATATGTGGTCCTTGTGGCTTTTCTCACATAACAATGTTTTCAAGGTTCATTCAAGCTGAAGGATGTAGCAATATTTTATTCCTTTTAATGACTGAATAATATTCCATTGTATGGATACATCACTTTCATCTATTTATTAGTTAATAGGCATTTGATGTGGTTATTTCTATTTGTTGGTTATTATGAATAATATTGTTATTAACATTTATGTACACTTATTTCTCTTGGGTAAATACTTAATATCAGAATTATTTAACTCTATGTATAACATTTGAGGAACTGCCAAACTGTTTTTCAAAGTTTACACCATTTTACATTCCCATCAGCAGTGTGTGAGGGCTCCAATTTCCCTCCTGTCTTCTCCAACATTTATTATCTGTCTTTTTTATTATAGCTACCTTCTGTATGTGAAATGGTTATTTCATTGTGGTTTTGTGGTTTCATTTGCCTAATGGCTAATGATGTTGAATATCTTTCATGTGTTTATTAGGCATTTGCATATCTTCTTTGAGGAAACATTTTCAGATCCTTTGGCCATTTAAAAATTTTGTTATTTCCTTTTCATTATTGAGTTGTAAGAGTCCTTTATATATTCTGGATATAATTCTTTTATCATATAAGATTTGCAAATGTTTTTCTCCTATGGATTGTCTTTTCACTTTCCTGATGGTATCTTCGGAAGAATAAATATTTGTAGTTCTGATGAAGTTAGATTTTTCTGTTTTTTTTTTCCTTTTGTCACTTATGTCACAGGTAAGAAACCATTTCCTAACCCAAGATCATGAAAATTTATTGCTGTGTTTTCTTATAAGAGTTTTATTGTTTTAGCTCTTACACTTAAGTCTATAATGCATTTGAGTTCATTTTCATATATATTCATAGATATAAGGTAGGGGTCCACCTTCATATTTTTACATGTGGATATCTAGTTGTTCCAGCACCATTTATCGAAAACACTATTCTTTACCCATGGAATTGTCTTGAAATCATTGTTAAAAATAAGTTGGCCCTTGAAGACCATGTATGAGGAGGTGCTGGGGAAGCCTATGGTGGGACCCGGGTCTCTGGGGCCCTTCCTGCAGCTCTGGGGAAGAGGGAGCCTGGGGCTGGAGGCCATCTGTCTAGGCCTGATATTTTCCACGTCCATAGGCCCGCTGACTAATTTAGGCCTCAGGCTAAAATGAACTAGACCCTGACAGGATTTCACAGGAAGCAGCCAGGGCTGGCAAGGAAGAGTCCTGACAAAGATCACTGGGTAAGGAGGCAGGTGTATGCATGGGTAAAGCTGCAGAAGGCCCAGGCTAGTCTCATGGAGCCTGGGGGCCAGCCAGCTTGGAGCCTCCCCCTGCAGGCAATTTGGTAGGGAAGCAACAAGGTCACACTGGTGTTTCAAAAGAGTTCTCTGCCTCAGAGTGGAGACTCACAGAGGGAGGCCAGAGACGAGAATGTCATGGTAGCCCTGAGTAAGACCCAGTGCCTGGCCCCGGGCTGACGCCATGGGGCAGAGAGGGCCACCAGTGGACCCAGAGGGAGTAAGGAGGGCTCTCAGGGGTCTGCCCCAGGAGAACCGGTGGCAAATGGTCTCATTCCTGAGATGGAGACTCTGGGAGGAGGTGGTAAAAAAAAAAAAAAGTTGGCCTTTATTTTTGTGTATGGTGTAAGACTGTGGTGCAGTTTTATCCTTTTGCATGTAGCTGTCCAGTTTTCCCAACAGCATTTACTGAAGAGAACATCTTTTCCCTGTTACATATTCTTTTGCCTCTGTCATATATTAACTGATCACATAAGCATGTGTTTATTTCTGGTTTCTGTTCTGTTCTGTGGATTCATGTGTCTATTTTTGTGCTACCACAAGGCTGTTTTGATTGCATACACAAAAATAAACTCAAAATGGATTAAAGGCCTAAATATAAAACCTGACACCAGAAAACTCCTAAAAGATAACATAGGCAGTAAGCTCTTGAACACTGGCATTAACAATTTTGTTTCTGCCTATATCTCCCCAGGCAAGGGAAACAAAAGCAAAAATGAACAAGTAGAATACCAAAACCAGGAAAAGACCCCATCAAAAAAGAAAATTACAGAACAATATCCCTGATGAATGTAGATGCAAAAATACACAATAAAATATTAGCAAACCAAATTCAAAATAAATCAAAAGGATCATATACCATGACCAAGTAGGATTCATCCCAGGGTTGCAAGGATGGTACAACATTGGAAAATCCATCAACATCATCCACCACAACAAAAAGGACAAAAACCACATGATCATCTCCATAGATGCTGAAAAAGTATTCAACAAAATTCAACATCCATTCATGATAAAAACTCTCAGTAAAATGGGTATTGAGGGCAAGTACCTCAACATAATAAAGACCATATATGATAAACCCACAGCTAACATCATACTGAACAGCAAGAAGCTGAAAGCTTTTCCTCTGAGATCGGGAACAAGACTGGGATGCCCACTCTCCCCACTGTTATTTAACATAGTACTGGAGGTCCTAGCCAGAGCAATCAGACAAAACAAAGAAATACAAGGAATCCAGATTGGTAAAGAAGAAGTTAAACTGTCACTATTTGCAGATGACATGATATTGTACATAAAAAA